AGCTTCACTTCCACTGCTTTCTACTGTTCCTGAGTAATCTACCCAAGGGTTGCTCCGATCAATGAGCGCCAAAATTAAGTGCCTCTTGACTATCTCGCTGGTCGTTGTTACCATCCTGGCCGTCAAGGGTTTCTATCGATCAAGCTTAAACGTGCAGCTAAATCTTTCTTGGACTTCGACCGCCGCTCTGTAAAAAGCATTCGCCTTCAACTCCTCGTTGCTGAATTTTTCCCTAATCTTTAACATCGAACCAACACCCGTGGTATCCCGCGGAGAGCGTAACAAAGCTTCCTTTTCGATCGCGGAGACACTGCCAACGCTTTCGAAGTTCGAATCGTCAGTCATCGTTAAAACTATGAATATTCAGCTTTATGGGTTTCTCATTTATCATCCGAAATATCATGTTCAAATTCAACTACACTATATCAAAGAGTAACTTTCTGTATCATTGAAGCTTGACTGATCTCTTGTATACTTAAGCCAGTTAATAATCGCAGAGAAAGCTCTACTTATTGGATGAATTATATCAGATAACAAAATCCTCATATCTTCTCATATAGAATTAGGGGAAAGGACTGAGTTCTTGTTATTCGGCACATGGGCGCCAGATACGGACCTGAACTGATTTTACGTATAATAATATACTTGTATGGTATGTTGAGATGTCTTCAATGATGCGTGAGCTATCTAAATATATTTAAAGTTAAGCCTATAAGAAATGGTTTTTATTAACAGCTTTTAGTTAAGTAAGATAATTTAATTAGAGTATGAACCAAAAATATATTTAGAAAATTTTAGTTCATTGCTTCCAACTTTGTAGTATATAAAAGATTTTCATTAAAAAAAAATTTTGTTATTTCCTTGTCCCACTGAATATTCTATATTCTATTTGAGTAAAAGTTTATTTTAAATTATGACTGTTAAGCTAATATTTTTTCATATCAAGAGAAGACGTATCTCGCGAACAAATACTCAAAATTTAATATTAACAAAATTAAAACGACACAACTCAAATAAGTTCCATTTAAGCTGTGATTTTGTTCTATGTAATATGCCTTGTGTTCTCATGCCATCATGCAAATCAACGAGCGACGTTATGTCATAAATACTTGCTACAAGAGCCATTAATAGTTTTGTTGATCTGCTATTACCTACTTATCGATATGACCATTAGCGGGCGGTTGATGTCAAGCAATAAAAATGTCTTCGATTATATACTGTTACTAACCTTCTGCTGTTTTGATAAGACGAGCTATCTTTTTTCATTCTGTTATGTTCCGTTAAAGAAATTTTGCTTTTTACAGCAATATTTCTTATATTTAAATTTCAAGGCAAATTTCCGTTATTGATTGCCAAAAAATTGCTTGCAACATTAGCTAAATCATGAAAATGTAAGTATATGACGCTATGCTAGTCACAAGTTCTTACTGGGTTTAATGCAACATACCACAATGTGCCGCAACACTGTAGATATGTAGCATACAAGGGTTTATTTAAGACGAGATTTAAGAGAGATTCCTTTCAATGCTCATTTCGCCCCCTTGATAGTATTATTTCGTCAAGTGTTGCTCACTTATCCTTGAAGTGTTTCTAAAGGATATGTTGAAGTGTAACTTGATATTTAAAGTGACTTTCAAATCAAAATGTTTGCTTGCATTCAAACTGAGTTTTGCACTTTATTATTTATGGAAGTAGTATATCAAATTATTTTCAAGTTATTGTGGAATTGTTGGTGGTTTCTATGTATGTACGTACATAAGAATGCCATAGTTACAAGTATAAGTATATGTTTGCGTTGTAAGAATATTTGATTAAATGGTAGATTTAATAAAAATCCTGCTATAAAATGTTGGATCACAATCCTCTTGATCTCTAGAAGGATAATAGCAGAATGGAACGACGCTCAATTGACCAAGTAAGTCTGTAGAGGCACTCCGCAAGGTAGAGTGCTATCCCCGCTCCTATGGACATTAATGGTGAATAAACGGCTAAGGAATTTAGACGGCAACCCCTAAGATAATGGTATATGCGAACGGCATTGTCATCTCAATAATGGAAAAACGGATCTGCTTGCGTTCATAAGAAAATACAAAATCCCTCCATTAAGGCATCCTTCGATAATTGGGACACAACTCTCTCTCTCTCTCTCAAGGACCACACCAAGTAGCTTGGGGTAGTCCTGGACAGCAAAATGCTGTGGAAGCACAAAGTGGAAGAAGCAGTGATTAAGGCTAGCAATCCCCATCTGCCCATAGACAGATTGTCAGCACAACCTGGGGGCTTTCTACCTCTCTCATGTACTGGTGCTACATAGCTATTTTAGGAGCAATTCTGCTCTACGGTACGGTAGTATGAAATCACCTACCGCAAGACAACGGAAAGAGTTCAGAGACTCGCTGCGCTGTACACAAAGGTAGCTTTAAGAACCACTCCAACGGCGGCTTTAAAAAAAAAACTATTTGATATTTTTACCATCCATTTTATTCATATGTGTATTTATATTTGAATAGTACACAAAATTAATTTAAAAAACAAAATTTCATTGAGTTATGCGTCCTTGAAGTTGAGGGCAAAAAAGGCCGTGGCCTCGTCGCCATGATTTCTATCTATTGTGATCATCTGAAAAATGAAACAATAATGAATTCTTGTTTAGTAAGAATGTCACTATCACAAGAGGCTACAAAATGAAAAAAAAATTAAATTTTTTTTAATGAAATGCGGCTACTCAAAAATTAAGCTCGACTTTTTTCACTGATTTTTTAAATGTGTCTAATTTTTAAAAAATATTACAAATTTCAATTTTTAATTTTCTGTTGCTTTATATGATAAAGAGATATTTAAAGAATATACATGTCATATTTCAAGTAAAGCGGCTGTTTAGAACATGAGATATTGTGACAACTGCATCGAAAAAAGTAGTTTCGGGAAAACGGCGTTTAATTTTTTACCTTAACGTCGCCTATTGTTGCAGTCGTCTTAGCGGACGGGTCCGGTCCGTTGCCACGACACTTAAACGGCTGTAAAGTAATTCGAAATTTGAAAAATCCTTTTAGGTAGTTATTTTTCAATATCCAAACGATCGAATTATAAAAAACAAAAAAATTTATTTCTAGACTAGAATACCCCCATCAGCAGTAAATTAGGCTGTTTCATACCAACTATACTTCAATTTGTTGAGTTTATACAATACATTTTTTCGACACATTTTCATATACATAAACAATACTTTTCTTTGAAGATTAACTCTTAGTAATTATAATAACGAGCAACAACATTTTTTATCCTCAAAATAATTTAATACTTTAAATTCTTTTCACTTACAACGTCTCGCACACATACTTACAAATATAAGTATACATATGTAAGTGTCGAAAACGTTCCAAAAAGAAGATCAACTAACGCTGAGGGGGAAATATTGCTTGTAGCACGTCAAACGCCATAAAAAGGCAATAAAACAAGACTGTCTTTTTCACAGTTCTGCTGATATACAACAAATTACTCACTTGGGATTCGACACATTTACACCCTGTGCTTAAGATATACTGTGGAACTCGGCGTGCGAATGGCCACTGCTTTAAAAAGACATATGTATCTGCCACATCCAAGTAACTGTATCGCAATGTTTGTGGCAGAAGTTTTGCCGAAACTTGAAGCAAGAAATACAATGGTTTTTGTGTTTAACTTGCCACACACCAAATCCAATGCGACAAATTGCCAACTATTTTCAACACTTTGTCCGAAAGCGAGTGTTTGACATACCATATATATATACATATATATATATATATATATATATAGAGAGAGAGAGATATACACCAGCACATATATGTATATGTGTGTGCGTAAGTATTGTGCTTGCAACACATACCAATGCAATACATGCGTAAAAGTGCTCGTTTGCTGGAGACATGAACTTTGGCGACATCATAAAACTGCTGCCATTCGCACTCTTGTCCGTCTGACCGTCTGTCTGTCCTCGTTCTTCGAATGCTGAAGCAAGCAATTCACGAACAACAACAACAATCTACAGTTTTATGTAGCTGATTTTATGAGCAGCTTATCTGCTTTGGTGCACTTGCCTGTGGTCATTGCCACATTTGCCACATGGGGGCGGTGTTGCAAGCAACAAATTATTTTATTTATGTCCACGCAGATTATTTCTTAAGCAGCATTGGAGCTCATGTTCCTTATGTGAGTGTGTGTGTGAGTTAAGTAAAATTTGTGGCAAAATAACATAAGTGAGCGGAGATTACTTGCTGCCCTCTCTCTAGTTTCCAGCAATAATTAAGTACACTTTATGCAGCAAATTAAAAAGAAATGCAAAAAATTTAATATATCCTTCTTTCATTGTCTTCGTCCTTTATTGCTTTTCTGCGCATTTTTCATTTGCATATGAATCCGTTGCTTTTCTGCGCGGTTGGCATGTTCCGCAATGTTTTTTTTGTAGCCCCGTATCTATGTTTCTTTTTATACCCTGAACAGTGTATAATATGTTGGTCAGGAAGTTTGTAATACCCAGAAGGAAACGTCAGAGATCCTTTAAAATATTATATATACATAAATGATCAACATAAGGAACAGAGTCGTTTAAGCCTGGGTTGTCTGTCTGTTTATCCGTCCGACAATGTCTGTATACATTTATGCGAACTAGTCCCTCAGTTTTTGAGATATCGATCTGAAATCTTGCACACGTCATTTTCTCCCTAGTAGACGGCTCATTTGTCAGAACTGTCGATATCGGATCACTATACCATATAGCTGCCATACAAACTGCACGATCGGAATCAAGTGCTTGTATGGAAAACTTTTGTATTTGACGAGATATCTTCACGAACCTCGGAATGGACTATTTTCCAAGGCATCGGTGCAATGTCCGAAGAAATTGTTCAGATCGGATATCTATAGCATGTAGCTGTCATACAAACTGAACAATCAAAATCAAGTTCTTTAAGGAACCTTTTGTATTCGTGAAGGGTGTTATAGCCTCGGTGCAACAGTAGTTAATGTTTTTTCTTGTTTATTTGATTTTTTAATTTTTGTTTTTGGGTTAAGAATTTATTTACGCTACAAAATAAAATATTTTTGCAAACCACCAAAAATCCAGCTGCAATGCTTAGTCCTAACAATGTGAACAAAAGAGGTTTATACTACTAACATAGCGAAGAATTGGAGCAAATGGAAGTTGTTGGGCATATAAGTACATATACATAACCTGCAAATAGAAATCATAGTCACATATGTATAGTCCCGGTAGGAATTTAAAAATTATACCATAAAAGTGGACGATAATTTTACTTTAAATAAAAATATTTGTAATTAACGTTTAATCGCTTGTTGATTTGTTGTCGATCTTTGCCTCCGATAAGTTTTTAAGTCAGCTCCGAACTGCAGATGGTTGAAGCCTTTTCATGGCTTACATGATCGAATTTATACTATTTCCTGCCAAGTGCCGATCGATATTAGAAATTTTTGATCTTGGCCGTATATTTGGTACGAATTGAGGTCATGTGCGCGCTTTCATACGCCTCTATTCCCTACACTACGGTAGCCATGATGCATCTTCTAATTGAGCGAAAGTAAAGCTTCCGATTTCCAAGTTGTATCAAATCAATTCCACCTAAAGTAAAAAAGAAGCGATATATATTAATAGCCCTTTTATTTTTTAACAATAAACATAACAAGAAAAAACGTTAACTAATGTTGCCCCGAAGCTATAATACCCTTCACAAATCAATAAGTTTCCATACAAAAACTTGATTTTGATCGGTCAGTTTGTATGACAGCTATATCCTATAGTGGTCCGATATCGACTATTTTCACAAACGAGCAGCTTTCTGAACATGCGTAAAATTTCATATTGATATCACGAAAACTGATGAATTAGTACGCGTATATACAGACAGACGGACATGCCTAATTCGACTCTCTCCTCACTTTGATCATTTATATATATACTTTATAGGGTCTCCCACTTTCCTTTTGGGTATTACAAGCTTAATATAGCCTATTCAGGGTATAAAAGCTCATGCTTGGCAATGCCCATTATAAAGCTGGTTGAAAACTCGTACATGGTTTAGATGTTTAACTATAAATAAGTCACTGGAAAGTTAAAAGTTTGCAAAACATATACTTTTGGTCTAGAGTAGAATACAAGAGATCCATTGAAGTACATTATTTATCTTTCTTTTTGACTGTTGAGCCGTCTTAATAGGTTTGTTATAAATTCAAAGTTCTATATATGAGGGTCACTTGATCCATATCCACATGTTTTTGGTAACACAAAGGACTGGAGTTTCGATTGCCTAAGTAAAATATCTGTGATTTCCATTTTATCTTGCTATATAAGTTAAATTAGGCCGAAAGAAGTTTTCATCAGTTTATGAGATTCTCCAATAGGTCATTCACTGCATCATAATACAATGATTGAAGAAAGACGCGATAATTTTGCTGTTTCTTAGAGTTGCTCTTGAAAGAGTGGGTAGGGCTTTGTTGAGTTTTGCTCAAATCATTTAAAAAAATGGCTTTGGACGAAGAAGATTTTTAATCGCACCTTAAAGCTCTTGTTATACACTCTCTGATAACCGAATGAATGTCAAAATTAATTTCCAATTGAGTACACATGTGCACATCGCGCAACAGCTATTGCTACAGAAAAAGCCATAAAAACAACTTCACCAACATCAGCAGTCAACATTAGTATTCAAATCCGACTTCATGGAAATTGGTGCAGAACCAGAGGTCACCACCACTCGTGTATTGCACTACTTCATATAAAGCAAACAACTAAATGTATATGTTATAAATGTATGAGCGTGCAAGTGTGTGTGTGTTTACAGATGCAAACAATGCCATTGCAAATATTTGCCAGCACTGGCACACATACATACATGAATTGGCGCGTGTGTGTTTGTTATCGCGCGAGCATTGTGTGACACCAATGCAGTGGTATTTAAATTACAAATGAAATGCCAGCGCAGAAAATGCCAACAAACACTAGTGCTTACACACACATGCATATGGACAAATGTACGGCATAGATTTTATGCAAATGTAATTGTTTGTGTGTTTGTATGTGCACTGGAGGCAACTGCTCGGGAGCATTTCGCTAAAACTGTTGCAGCGCGTGCAATAATATTGCTCTCCAGCATCAATTCATATGTATGCCGCGCGGACGAACATTCCTCGAAAACAGTGGTTCGCAAACTTTTTCTTTAAAGTTGTACTTAATAAAAATTATTGAGCCTTATATTAGAAAGTAGTTTAAGTTACCTTAGATAAATATATTTAAGAAAGTCGTTTTGGAATCTCAAGTTGACTTTCAGCATCAATTTAAAATGTTTCTCGCGCGGACAGATCAAAATCAGTGTTTCCCAAACTTTTTCATTTGATTTTACTTCTTCTTCTACTTTAATGAAAATAAAAATTAATGAGAAAGTATTATATTAAAAAAAATATATATATATATTTTAAGCGGTTATATCCACGCACAATTCCGTAGCTGATCTCCAGGTGGACCTGGCGAAAAAGGTGTTTGTTGGTGAGAAAATTTGTCTGCTTAAAAGTATCCAAAAATCAATTATTATCAAAAATTTAATTTTTTCGATTATCACCTGATAAATATATTTAAGAATGTCGTGTAAAAATTTTTTAGTCGACCGATCCAGTCGTTTCTAACCCATTCTGAACACAACGTTTCGAGAAAAACGCGTTTAAAGTTTTAGAAGCCGATTACACTAAGTTAAAAAAATTTGCCGGAGCTACTTACAATTTTCAGTGAATACTCTCAAATGTAAGTAGATATAAGTATGTCTTAAGTCTTGTTTGTGGTTATATGTAAGTCTGCTTTACTAAATATACCTATGACAGAGTCCCATCAGGTTAGAATTATCATTTACTTTTGAAGCGTGTAAGTGGGCTGAAATTGTGATTGATTTCAGGCTTTTTGGTGAATAGCGGGAATGATTAAAAATATATTCTTTACATGATAAAAGAGAGTAGTGGGTATGCCACGCTTAAAACATGCTGTAGTTACGAAAAATGGGGATGGTGAGTGACGATCTTTCTTTCACATATCATGAGTTCCTAGAACCCCCGTTGTGCGTCAAGACCCTCTTGAAAAAAATCATTTGGTAGGTTGGTCTAGTAGGCCACCATCAACCATCACTAAATATAAATATACAAACTGTTTTGACATAAAGAAACTAGATTATCATAAATTGTTTAAGAAAAAATTTGTTGAGCTCTTTAGCCTGGCCTAGCAGTTTAAATGTCAATACAATTTTGCTCTGTTATAAAGCTGTACCTACGGGACTCTGGGGGGCGCTTCTCAAATTTTTCGTAGACTTTCGGCATTAAAATGTCTTTCCAGTGTCAAATTCTGCTTATCACTCTTAATATGATAGTCGATCAAAAGCTATACTCAGGTAACCTAACCATCGTTGACAATATATTAAACTGTATGTAAAACATCCACTTTGCTCAGCTGAAGTGCTACAGCTACTGCAATCTCTTTCAAAAAGCAGAAACTGGTAGCTGACAAGCAATTTCCGATTTCCCTACTAGAAACTCCACCATAAGTCCATATTACTACCTAACAGCCAATTTCTGTAGTTTAAGAAACACTGCTTCAATACAACAACACCAAAGAATAAGATTCAAGCAACAGCGGGTTATCACACACGTTGCGCCAAAGCGGCACAGCGGCGCAAAATCCTTTCGCGCTTATATTAGTAAACTATGTATGTACCATATATAATATACACAGTGTATATGCGTGATGAATTTGTTCGTGCCTTACATTTGACCCCATTTGGCTGCCGCTGTTATTACTTTAGTGCTTTGACCAACCTTAAAAGCTGTTCAAATTGCTTTGTTGCTTACTTATGCTTATTGTAATACACTGCTACTGTTGCTTCTACAGCATCCGCCACATTTACCATTACTTAATTAATTAAATTGAATTTAACCCGAATTTGCTCCATTCTGTCTATTTTGCCGACGCTTTTATGACAAAATTTATTGAATATTCGTCTGCTCTGGCCTTTGCTTCGGCCATTATTATGAATGTTAGGTGCACAGGTGAAAGCAGGTGAGAAATGTTGTTTCTTTTTCAATTTACTTACGCTTTTGAAATGCTAATTTAGCGGGTAAAAGATTTCTTTGGTGTAAACCCGCACAATATTAAGGAGCAAATTGAATATTATCATGTTTTGCTGGAAACTTGAGTTTACCTTTTTATTATCGCCTTTAAAATGGGTTCTCATACAATACACTTGTTATAGGTCTCAGCTGGGATGACCCTTAAAGCCTTCTGCAAATGACGTTTAATGGCTTCAATGAACTCATGGCGCGTTCCAAGAAGCCTCAAGACGGCCAACTAGTATTACTTGACCGTTTGACCCTGTGGAACGAAATCATGGTGAACCACACCACGGTAAATAAAGAGAACGATGAGCACTCTCTAATTTTTGACCGACTTTGAATTGGTTTTCTCGCTTTCGGCTCATTTTTAGAGCGCCATTTGGTGGAGTATTAAACAGTATTGACGTCATATTCGTAAACCGATGTCTCGTCACCAGTAATGATGTGTTTGATGAATATAGGGTTCTCAGTTACATTGTCAAGCATCTCTTTTGCGACGTTTACTCGACGTCATTATTGCAAAAAATTTACGTCTTTTGGTACGAGTCTAGCATTAACACGCTTTATAACAAAAACATTAACCGAAAGTGTGGCGAGTCAATCCATAAGAGATGTTGAGATCCTTTGTTATCTCTCTGATGCCAACACGACGATTTTTATGCAATCTTTCCTTAATTTTTTTGGTGTTATCGTCAGTAACAGAGATGAATGGACGACTCACACGAGGTTTTCTTGGACTTTGCTACCTTTACTGAATACTTTGTGCCACTAAAATACTTTTGATCGTAATAAAGTAGACTCCCCGAAAAACGACTGCAGCATTTTCAACGATTCGTCGTAATTCCATTGGAAATACAAAATTTCAAGCAAACTTGTTAAAATTTTCCATAGTAAAAATCGCCAGACAAACCTTTTCGCAGACCAGGAAACCAGTGAAAATTCCCTATCCCGTAAATTTGTTGAATTTGAACCTACGTCAAATAGTTGTTAGCAATAACTGCTTTGCTGTTTAAAAATATACTAACTTTTACCATTCATCACATACATATGTATTAGTTCCATGAAAAAATTGTCTTTGATTTTTTAAAAAATATCCGCAATTACTTAGTTGCCAACCCAATATATTTTTCAGTAAAAAAAGGAGATATACCATATCACTCGTTCAGAAAGCACCCCTATAGTGCAGATTATTTTTGACACTGTTTGGATAGATGGAATATTGTCTTACCTTCTGAAATTGCGTCGCTTTTTGTCAAGAATTGGATTAGTCAAAGTCTTTAAGGAAATGAAATATTAAGGAAATGAAATATTGGGAGAATTACGACAATTACAGAAGGAGCTTAGTCAATAATGAAATATGATTTAAGTACTTTATTGAATATTTTGTGGAAGTGTCTTGGGTTGTGCAATTTTTTTCGATTGCAGAGAAACAAATCAGTACTAGAAAACAAAAATTGATCAGAGTTGACTAGAAAT